GAGCGCATGCACCCTGTAGCAAAAAATCCTCTCAAAAAAAAAAAAAAAATTCCACGTGGACCCTGGACTGTAGATGGTTGCCTTGTCGTCTTTCCCTGTACTATATGTATCAGTATCGATGTCACTGACTGCAGGGACCAGTGATTTATTTATTTTTATTTATATTTTTAGGAGAGGGAAAGTGAGATGTCTACACTGCAGTCCCTTCTCCATTCTCCTCTCAGGATAATAAACATGCACACACTTGTTTTGCAAGCTACTGGGTCTGGGACTCGAACCGTGGTTGACCATGTGGGTGTCTAGTGCCCAACTGCCATGCCTCCTGCTTTTTATTTTTATTTATTTATTTTTTTTTCCAATGGCTTTTGTTATAGGGCATGTTTGCTCCTTGGAGAAAGAGAGAGACAGAGACAGAGAAAGTGAGAAATCACCCCCCCACACACTGGTTTTTTTTTTTTTTTTTTGGAGAGATTTTCACTGTAGGGCGCGTGCGCTCGCCAGACAGACAGAGAGAGACATAGAGACAGAAAGCGAGAAATCACCCCCCAGGGGGGATGGTCACGCCGCAATCCCTTCTCCTCCATTCTCCTCTCGGGATCTTGGGCACGCACGCACACGCGCCCGGCGTGAGTTTTAAGCCACCGGGTCCGGGACACGAACCGCGGTCGACTACGTGGGAGTCCAGCGACATAGCCATTACACTAACTGCTGGTTCCCCCCCCCCCACTGGTTTTAAAAAGATTTCTTAACAGTTTTGCCAGAGGGAGCCAGCCAGTGGCCTGGTGGCTAAGCCAGCTGAATTCCACCTGGCTCAGCTCGGGCAGCTTGAGAAACACGCATGCACACATGTGCATGCCCAAAGTTCCCAGAGGAAAATGGAGAAGGGACTGCAGCATGCCCATTCCCCCTGGGGGAGTGATTTCCCACTTTCCCCTTCTCTCTGTCTCTGTTTCTCTCTCTCTCTGGTGAGTGCATGTGCCTTATAGCAAAAACCCAGGGGAAAAGAAAAGAGCGACTAAGTCCGGATGACAGCGTGACAGTGTCACTCTGACCGGCTCGTGGGAAGTGGTGGCAGTGGTCTGTCACAAGGCCGTGCGCTGGAGCTCCACGCTAGCTTCACCCTCGTGTCCACCGCAGGGAGTCCAGACCTGGGAGCCGTGGAGCTGCGCATTGAGGAGCTGCGGCACCACTTCCGAGTCGAGCACGCAGTGGCAGAAGGGGCCAAGAACGTGCTGCGCCTGCTGAGCTCTGCCAAGACCCCAGACCGCAAGGCAGTCAGTGAGGTAAGGGGCGGGGCCTTGGCAAGGGGGCGGGGCTTCACCAAAGGGGTGGGACCTCAGCAAGGGGTGGGGCCTCCATCATGGATTGGCTACTGTGATGGGGGGGGCCTTAGTGGGGCGATAACTCAGTGAGGGGCGGGGCCTCCACGAGGAAAGGCGGGGCTTTGGTTGGGTGGTGCCTTTGCAAGGGGTGTGTGCTTCAGTGAGGGGCGGAGCCTTTGCAAGACATAGTGGGGGAGGGGCCTCCACTAGGCCACGGCTTTATGGGGGTGGAGTCTCAGTCAGGAGCAGGATCTTAGCCAGAATGGGCCATTGTAAGAGGTGAGGCTTCAAAAGGGGAGGAGCCTCAGTTCACTGGTCTCTTAGCAAGGGGTGTGGTCTCTGTGAGGGGCGGGGCTTTGGTTAGGAACAGGATTCCGGTGAGGGATGGAGTGGGGTGGAGCCTGCCAAGAGGGTAGGGGAGCATCAGGGAGGGGTGGAGCCTCACCAAGGGGTGTAGCCTGGATCAGAGGTGGGGCATTTTCGGGGGCGTGGCCTAGTTGTCATTGGGCCCAGGGATAGGACCAAGTTGGGTTGAAGTTTAGACCTCTAGGGAGGATCTCAAGGTGGGACGGTCCTGGGTCTACACTGGGTGGGGCAATCCCAATCCTAGCCCCGCCCCACCCCTCTGCCCCAGGCTCAGGAGAAATTGACCGAATCCAATCAGAAGTTGGGACTGCTGCGGGAGGCACTGGAGCGGAGGCTTGGGGAGCTGCCCGCCGACCACCCCAAGGGGCGACTTCTGCGGGAAGAACTCGCTGCAGCTTCCTCTGCCGCTTTCAGCGCCCGCCTGGCCGGGCCCTTCCCCGCCACGCACTACAGCACCCTGTGCAAACCTGCACCGCTCACAGGTAAGCCCTCACCCCAGCCCTGCAGCTCTGGGCCTCTGACCCTCTGATTTCCCTGTCCTGAGATCCCCACCCCCCACCCCGAATCTCCACTGTTCCATCCCACTGTCCTCTCCCTCCCCAATCACCCCAATCCTCTAAGCCTGCACCCTATTTCCCCAAGCCCACCAACTCATGCACCTGGTCTTGCACCCCCAGCTTGCCCTCTGACCCTAGATTCTGGTCCCCACACTCACCTCTCCCCTCTTGTTCTTTTTCCAGCCTCACTCTCAGACCCGTAGCCCTGAACAGCCCCCTAAGGCCAGCCTCCTCCACCTTCCTTAGACCCCTTAGCTCCTCTGCAGACCTGTGACCCTCTAGACCCCCCGGTTCATCTTAGACCTCAGATTAGCGGGATAAATTCTACCCTGGACTCCTGAGTCCCACCTGTTTCTTCTTTCTTTTCCATAGGGCGTGTGTTTTTGAGAGAGAGAGAAAGTGTGAAATCATCCTCCCAAGGGGGATGGCCATGGCTCAGTTCCTCCTCCATTCTCCTCTCGGGATTTTGAGCATGCATGTCTCACACGCCTGGTGTGATTTTTAAGTCAGCACGTCCAGGACTCGAACCCTAGTCGGCTATGTGGGAGTCCAAGATTTTGACCACCACGCCATCTGTTGGCTCTACCCCTATTCCTTCTTGAGTCCTAGCCTCTGCCCCCATACCTCTCTTTTATTCCTACACCCCACCTTGTCTCATTCTCACTTCCGGCTCAGACATCCTTCTGACCCCCTGCCTCCCCATGCTTGTCCCTGACTGGCTCCCATTTGCCACGGGCCATTTTGGGATGTCCCCTCCATCTGTGACCACTTCCTCTTGTCTGCCTCAAATGTGACCCCGCTCCCCCTTCCCCACTGAGCCTTGTCCTCCTGCAGGGACCCTGGAGGTACGCGTGGTGGGCTGCAAGGACCTCCCAGAGACCATCCCCTGGAACCCTTCACCCTCAGCAGGGGGACCCGGAACCCCTGACAGCCGTCCCCCCTTCCTGAGCCGCCCATCCCGGGGCCTTTATAGCCGAAGTGGAAGCCTTAGCGGCCGGAGCAGCCTCAAAGCAGAAACTGAGAACACCAGTGAGTGGGCATCGTGGGTGGCATGGAGACCTGGGAGACCCTGAATCTGTCAGGCGGTAAAAAACGAACCCATTGGGGCCAGAGGTGGCATAGTGGTTAAGGTGCTGCGCTTGTACATGGCCAACCGCAGTTTGAGTCCCGGACCTGGCAGCTTGAAGCTCATGCAGGGCATGTGCCTGTGCATGCCCAAAGTCCCAAGAAGAGAATGGAGGGGAAGGGATTATGGTGTGGCCATCCCCTCGGGGCTGATTTTTTACTTACTTTCTCCTTCTCTGTCTTTCTCTCTCTCTCTCTGGTAAGTATACACACCCTATATAAAAATCTTAAAAACAAACAAAAAAAAAGACAACAAAATGGGCTGGCCTTGTGGCCTAGTAGTAAAGGAGCCGGATCCCATATGGTTGATCATGGTTCGAATCCCGGCCCCAGAGGCTTGGAAAATATGCTGGACACGGACCAGCAGGTGGTGTGGAAGTTAAGGCACTGGATCCCACATGGCTGACGATGTGGTTTGAGTTTCAGACTCAGCAGCTTGAAGATCACGCTGGGCGCGTGTGCATGCATGCCCAAAATCCCAAGAGGAGATTGAACAAGAAGGGATTGTGGTGTGGCCATCCCCCCTGGGGGCTGATTTCCCACTGTCCCTCTCCCTGTTTCTCTGGAAAAGCATACATACCATATAGCAAAAAAAACTAAAAGGAAAAAAAATGGGGCCAGCAGGTGGCATGGTGGTTGGGGTGCTGGACTCCCACATGCTGACTGAAGTTCGAGTCCTGAACCTGGTGGCTTACTTTCCCAATTTCCGTTTCTCTCTTCTTTGTCTCTCTCTGGTCAAATTAAAATAATAATAAATTGAATAAATAATTTTTAAGAATTTTTATTTAACTTTATTTATTATTATTATCGTTATTATTTTTCAGTTTGATCAGAGAGAGACAGAGAGAGAGAGGAAGTGAGAAAGCAAGCCACCAGGTCCGAGACTTGAACCATGGTCGGCCGTGTGGGAGTCCAGTGCCCTTAACCACCATTCCACTTGCCGGCCACAATAAATAATTTTTTTTAAGTAAACACTTTTATTGGGGGGAAGAAGTTTTTGCTATAGGGTACGTGCGCTTGCCAGAAAGAGAGACAGAGAGACAGAAAGCGAGAAATCACCCCCCAGGGGGGATGGCCATGCCGCAATCCATTCTCCTCCATTCTCTTCTCGGGAT